CATACCTACCTGCTGATACCGAACAACTGTCAGAATTGCACTGCTAACATACTTGAAAAAATTATTTTTTATTATCCAACTTCTGTATTGCTAAATCTCTCATCCTGAAGTGGATCAAGTGAAAGGACTTTGCTTCATAAGCTGCTTCAATTGCATGCTTTCGCTGCATAGTAGTAGCAAATTATTTAAAATATTTTTTGGCAATTTAAAGAAATAAATAACACACAACAATACAACAATGTTTGGTCATGCATAAAATAGTCCTTTGCTCTTGATACTTCATAGCTTGAAACTTGAATTGGACTATAATCATACAGAGAAACATAAAATGGGAAATATATAATTGATCTTACTTCAATGAAATACTTGATGACGTCAGTACTGAAGCATAAGCTTGAGAGAGACAGAGACACTAAAGAGATAGAGAAAGGAAAATGGCAAAGAGAGGGAAGTGCACAGTAGTGAAGTGTAATGGTAAATCAGATTAAAGAGCAATGATTACTGTAATCAAGAGTAAAGCTGTAATGCTATTCAGTGCATATAAGCGTAGTAGCAATTACTTTATTTCATAAGCTATACTTAATGAATCAGTGACATACATGTAGGCCTGTGTGTAGCATACATTTTTTTATATGCATGTGCTAAATGTAAACATATTATACATGTAGATGTAGAAAGGAATGCAGAGAGGAAGGAATGTAGGATAGGGTCATATAGGAGCAAAAATGAGAAAGGTGTATGCACTGTTAAAATGGTGAACACTATACTATAAACCTGTGGGAAACCCTGTGCATACCACTTTGGCAACATTTCATTTCTTTCCCTTAGTGCGCAATGTCTTTGTCTACATGCATGGTCTTATTTGATCTCTCTTTCCCCTCTTAAGATGCCCTACATTATCTTTAGCAATCTTTCTGAATATAGTCTATTCTCATACAAATTCTACTCTCTTTATGGCTTTACTATTCTACACGTCTCTTTCTCTGCTTTTAAAACTGCTCTACAGTTTGACAAAACATCCTGTACTATTACATGTATGTCAAAAATTGCTAGAGGTGAATTTTCCTTTTAAATATTTTTGTCTGATACAAATACATGTTTTTGTGTTGTGTAGAAAGTTTGAGCTGAATCCAATTAAAATTGGACTTTTAATGAATTCATTAATTTGCTCAAAATTTGGACAAATATGCAGTCTTCGACCAAGTTTCATAAAAATGGCTAAAAGAGAATTCATCACTTTTATATTTTTTCTAATGCATATAGATGTTCCTAGTTTGAATAGAAAGTTTAAGCTGATTCTGATTAGAATTAGGTTTTTTACAAATTTTTAAAGTTGCTCCAAATGCCATATACATGTACGAATGTCTGTACATGTACATACATGTGCTTTTCAACTCATGAAGAATGCTGTTTAGCTCACTCAGCATGCTTAGTGGGAAACCCTGGGTATGTACTATAGGAAGGGTTAGAGACATAAAGAAAGAGCTTAACGTTAACAAGTTAATGACAGATAAATGCTACAAAGGGCATTGAATAATAGACAATATAGTAATTATAGTAATAAGGCATAATAACACTAACAGTAATACACAAATATGACAAGCACTTACAGTGATCCATAATACTAAAGGTTCTTGAATAATATATATTGCTTAATGGTGACACAGTCAGGCCTAGGGTAATATGTAATAGTAACAGTAATTATTACAATTTTTCATGTAATAGTAATAGTAATAGTAATAGTAATAGGGCCTAAGTATAATAGTGTTAAATTAACATTGAGGACACTATAGATTATCTTTCACAATAAGCAATACCAATAACCCCAGTCGAATGGCTATTTGATATAGCTGGTAAAATATTTCAACCAGATCGCTGTTCATTGTCTGACAGTGTGTTTGAAAGACTAATTTCTATTAAATGCTATCAACGTATTGTTTTAAATTATTTTTCGTTATGTTGTAAAACTACAAGAGGTAATAATAATAGTAATAGTAATATGAAGTGTCAAGGTGTAATAGTAATAGTAATAGATTACAATTGAAAGTAATTAACCCCAGGCCTGGACACAGTAACAATAATAGTATTAATAGATTTACCTAATTTTACATTTCCATATATAACGGTGATGTACATGTACATGTACGTAGTACATGTCTGTCCACAACACAAATACAAGACACCCACACATAGCCATTACTTCATTTCTCGGCATGCATGTGAAAATCTTAATCTACACTATAGTTAACAAACAGAAATCTGTTGTCTATTAAGATACTGATACAGATACTATTAAGATGCTACAAATCTGTTCATTATTACTTATAATTTAAGATTTGGTATAGATGGGGCAAGACTAGTCTCGCTGCCCAGACCCTCCGTCTATGGTCATTGGGGTGTCCACCCCAATGACTGCAGGCGGAGGGTCTGGGCAGCGAGACTAGGGCAAGACTGCACAATTTGTAGCATAACTAATTTTTCATAACAGCAAAATAAAAGTTACAACTACCAGCATTATGTAAATAGCATATGAATATGTATTATATATATATATATATATATATATATATATATATATTACATAATAATGTCTTGCCAACTGCATGCAATAATTGTTTGTAAAGCTACTTTAAAACCTCAACTTACCTAAATAGTAAGCTCAACACTAGTAGCTGTGCCGCTGACGCCACAGTAGTGGAGTATAGACCCAGGAGGTGCAGTACAGATATCCTCCATCTTGCCTTCAAGATGTGGTGGTGTTGCTGGAATCTAGTTGCCATGGGTACCCTATATACCATAGAGTATTATGCTACCTCATGAAGCACTCACGAGCAGTTGTACAACTATATTTCACGAATATTTCAATAGGTCTTACAATATTATTATGACGTTATTTCCCGTACGCATCGGGTGTATGTATGTATGTATGTACGTACGTACGTCTCCAGTCACGCCTATTCTGGTCACACCCATGTGTGCACAATATCTATTTAAAAATCAATGATCTAATGCGGTAGCATTCTAATGAAATATTTTTATTGATGTGGGTGTGGTTGCAATGAAATAAAAATGGCACCTACCTTAGCCAATCTTACCTGCAGCAACATAGGACTGATCTCTTGTCAAGACACTTCATCAGCAGAGAAAATTCAAGAAAACACACATAAATCTTCAAGTTTTTATTAATTATGGTTGAATGACAGAATATAAAAGCACTTCAAATGGCTCATCAGAGAAAAGAGAGTCTAAAAGTACTGTGCTTGAAAATATCATAGTAAAAATTAAATTATACTTATTAAAGCTACAACTGAGATTCTTCACTGCTAATAAAGCTAGAAGAGCAAGCTATAAAATTTTCTTTCATGCATGCAAGTCACAAGTTCTGAGCTGCTCTGCATGTGTATCATTCAAATTACAATTTGACAACAACATTAGCCTTTGTGACATATAAACATTGTATATTGCCATGCTAGCTTGTGCTCGCCCCTTCAATGTTCTACATTCGCCTAGTAAATTATTGTTCTAATTATTGACTTTGTGCCGTGATTAAACACCCGTGCGGTAGTGTCAGATATTCATAGATTATTAATTATTGTGTGATGTCATTTCCGTTTTGGTATTGTGTACGTGTGTATATAAACTCATTTTTTGTAATTATTGTTTAGTCGGCAATAGTCACTCACTAATTCTCACTTTGGTTTGTGTATCTTTCTCTCTCTCTCTTTTCTTTGATTGGTTTTTCAAAACATATCTTTTGGTCCACTATATTGGTGTGAGCAGATTGCGCGCAGATTAGCAGTCCGTCATCGTCAGGGAGATCGAGAGCTGTTGTTTTGGTAAAGCACGACTGATCTGGCATTTCGACTGACTGTTACTCATTCCGAGAGAAGAGGCATTTACTTTATAGGATCTCGCGAAGAACTCTACCCCACAGATAGCACTAACAATTATCACTTTAATTTTATTCAAATGAGCATGCAATTACTATATTTTTAAAATTATAAATGCTTTTTTGTAATAGGAAACTAAGAACAAGAGAAGCTAGCAAATTTCACATTCAACTTCGCCTCTCATTAATTTTCATGCTAGCAGTTTTTGTCAGTGGTATTGATAGGGTATTGGTGAGAGCTGGTTGTATAACAGTTGGTGTTCTCATTCATTACTTTGCTCTTGTTGCTTGGATGTGGATGTTAGCTGAGGCGCCCACAAGGCTTTACTTATGTTTCAAAAACTAGTCATTGTATTCACAGACATAACATGGAAATATTTAGTTGGTATCTCACTTATATGCTGGAGTAAGAATATGTTTGTACAACAATGATTTTTCATGTTTTATTAGCTCTACCAGTTATAGTCACATTAGTAATTGATGCTGATTTTTATACAAACCAGAAAACCAATCTGGATTGTAAGTGGCAGTGTATTTATTTTCATTATGCTTTATTGATCTTTTGTTTAATAGTTGTTTTATTACTGACACAATCCCTTTTCTTGTTGCTCTTCTACTTCCAGTCTTTGTAATACTTATCTTTAATATGTCATCATTATTTGTGTTCTTATTCTCCACACTATTCGTAGGAACAAGAGAATGAGTAAGTAAGTCTCCACTCACTACATCTGAAGCAATAAAAATGATGCTATCTTTTTATGGTATTTTGATGCTGTTTGGTATCACGTGGCTTTCTGCTGTCTTCACATTCATTACTGAGCCTATAGCATCTCATTCATAGTTCAGTTCTTTTTTGCTTTCTGTAATGCTTTTCATGGATTCTTTATATTCTTCTTTTTTTGTCATCCTGAGCAGTGACTCAAGGGATGCTTGGAGATTATTCCTCTGCCCTTGGACTCTTGTGGATGAAAAGAAACAACAGACATCCACAACTTTAAAAACAAAACTTCAAGTAATAAAATCATGTCACTGCAGAGG